ACAGGGACATCAATGACCAAGAGCTGCAGTCACAAGCACGGGTGACAGTGCCAGCTGCCCCCAGCCCCGCCGAGGCGCTGGCAACCAGCAGCAAGCTGTGAGCAGATGGCACAGACACGGGGGGCACGGGGAGGAGGGGACAGAGACGCTGGTGGCTTTCAGGAGGGACGGCCACAGCCGAGCCGGTTCCCATCCAGGACGACAGCTTGCATATGGATAAACAACGAGATAATTACAACCTTTGGAAGGGGGGGAAGCCCGTGGCACAGCGTCCTCCTGCTGCCAGCTCCTGCAACCCATCCTCCCCACGCTCCCTCCGCAGCCTCAGCGCGAGGAAATTGCTCGCCATAAAAGCCCTGGCTGCAGCCCTGCCTCGGCTACAGCTGTGAAGCCATTTAGCTATTGATAGCCCCCCATTGTCAGCACCAGGGTTGGGCTTTCGTGAGAGAGAGCAATTTGGGAAAGATGAAAAAGAAATAAAAAAAAAAAAAGAGAAAGCCAACAAAAATGACAACCCAAAAAACCCAACAAACAAACAAGTAAAGAAGGAGAGAGACAATACCCGACAGCTTGCAGGGTTTCCAGGCCTCTGCCAGCTGGGAAGCTGAGCGTATGAAATATGCATTGCACTGAACAAAGCAAACTGAAACGTTTGGAGCTGGAGAGCTGTAACCCTTTCCTGGGCGCCAGAGCCACAGGGAGAGCTGCCAAAAATCCAGGGGAAAACACCCCAGGGGAAGAAGCACTCTGGGCTGTGGGTAAGGATTACGGAGCCTGCACGGTCAGATGGGCTCAGCAGGCGGCTGCCTACGGAAGGTGGAAAGCTGAGGAGCTGCTTTGGATGCCAGTGGCTCCAGGAGCAGGATGTGGGATGACTCAAGGCAGGTAAAGCTGTGCTGCCCCTGACACCATTTCAACACCTCAGTGTTGGGTGGAGAAGCCCTTCTGGCAGGACTCCCAGAGCAGCATCTCTCCAGGGGACAGCTCTGTGTCCCCACGCTCCTGCACAGGCACTGTGACCCCCATGGGACTGTCACCTCCTGCCCCCGCTGGCCTGGCACAGGTGTCCCCAGGCTGCTGCACATCCCCGGAGCAGCGAGTGGATCTGTCAGGCTGCAGCACCTCCTTTGGGTGCCTCGGGCAGCCTGACCCAGTCCGAGCCACGTGTCAGCCCCAAAAACCAGCACAAGGCACAAAACACCCAGAGGAAGCAGCACGGGAGCGGCTGAAAACCTGAGCAAGTGGGATGCAGGGAACACAGGGCTCCTGAGATGAGACCCAAGGACTGGAGGAAAGGAATCCAGCACTCCAATCAAGGGACGGGAGAAAATGCAGGGAAGACCAGAGATCCAGCAAACTTTCAGCTAAGTAGATTATTGATCTTGAGGGTGTGCCAGGAACCAGCTTTGCAAATTACAGCGGTCCCCTGCTGCAAGCTCAGGCAGTTACCGGATGGCAGAGCAGGAACACTCCCTGCTCCTGCCACCCACAGGCTGCCTCCTCCTCCTCCTCCTCCTCCTCCTGTTTGGATCCAAAGGGTGCTGGCAAGAAAGGAGAGGGAGTGATGGCCCAGCCTAACGGGAGAGCCGGGGTTAGTGGGGAAGGAGCAGCTCGGTGGAGCAGGAGGCAGAACTCAGCCCAACGCGGGCGGGAAGGCGCTGACCTTGCGAGGCTCCGCAGACAATTCCCTTGGCAAAGGCAGCGCTCTGTGCTCGCTGTCGGGAGGGCTCTGCAGGCACAGCCGAGGTGTGAACGCCTCGCAGATTGTCCTGACAGTGCCTCAGCCCCGGCACAGAGATCAGCTGCTCACAGGAGCCCGGGGAGGAGAGATGGCTCAGAGCCCAGCTCCTGCTGGGGTGCTCAGCATCCCCCTGGATCAGCCCCATGGTGCTGGAATTACGGAATCACAGAATATCCTGAGCCAGAAGGGACCCACAGGGATCACTGATCCAACCCCTGGCCCTGCAGACACCCAACAATCCCCCCTGGGCACCCCTGGAGCGCTGTCCAAACTCTCCTGGAGTTCTGGCAGCCTCGGGGCCGGGACCATTCCCTGGGCAGTGCCAGCAGCCTCTGGGGGAAGAACCTCTTCTGATATCCACCCTAAACCTCCCCTGACAGCTCCAGCCCTTCCCTGGGCCCTGTCCCTGCTCACCACAGGGAAGAGATCAGTGCCTGTCCCTCTGCTGCCCCTCATGAGGACACTGAAGACCCCTGAGGTTTCCCCTCAGTCTCCTCCAGCCCTCAACCACAGTCAGGCTCAGAGTTCTCCTGAGAGGGAGGCAAGGAAGGATTTGTTCATCCTTCCCACAGGAGGCAAGGAAACAGCCACGGGGTTATCTGGTGGCACAGGCAGGGTGACACCAACCAGCTCTTCCCATCCCTGGGCCAGCCCCTGATTTGAACAAAGATCTGATTTGAAATAAAGTCCTTTCTCGGACTGCTGGAGTGTGATGAGCACTCGGGCTGCCAGATCCGCCTTGTTTTAAATAAATCCCACTGACGTTGTCTCTCCTGACATGAATTATTAACTGAGCACACGGTGCCAGCAGCAATGTCTGGGGCAGGCACTGAGCAGGTGAGGCTCTGCCTGGGACCGCAGGTGTGAGGCACTGGAATTCCAGCATCCCTGGCAGCAGAGGTGTTGTCACCATGGCTGCCACCTGGTCACGCCAGGGAAAGTCACACTCTGTGCCCAGGGCATATAAAACCCAAACTCCTGGCATCCCCACACAACCATCTGTGCCAACACATGCTGGGAGCGGGGACTGTTTTTCCCACCTTGTGACAGTCCCAGGGACAGAGGCAGCTGGCTCTGCTCTGCTCCTGGAAATGTTGTGGATGTCCTGGAGGTACCCAGCCAGACACTCTCTCCTAGGGTGGCCTGAACAGATGGGACCATTGCTCTCCCTTCAGCCTGAAGAAACTCCCAGTTAAACTGGGACCAGAGGAATGACGGGTGAGACGGAGACAGCTTTTCAGAGAGGGACCAACCCATGAGCCAATGCCCAGAGGCAAATTACCCTCCCCTGGCTGATGACTCGAGAATTCACCAGAACATTCAAAAGATCCCCAAGGGAGAGCCTGACGGAAAGTGAACCATCAGCAAGGGGCAGGGAGCCAAGGTGGGAGCTCCTGGAAGAATTGTGAACCGTGGGTATGGACCTCAGCCACCCACACTGGTGAGAAATCACCAGGATAAAGGGCAATTCCTCTGCCCCCAAAATAGACCCCAGCAGCCTGAAGACAGAGGAAAGAGAAGAGTTTTGTGAATGCCAGCTCTGTGAAGCCCTGAGGAGACTTCCAGCACCAGACACAGACTGGGCTTCCCTCCTCTGGTCACTCCGTGCAATGAGAAGGAAGGAGTACTGAGCAGAAAAAAATATCATTCCATATTTTTTCCTCTCATAATTCAGAAGAACAACATCCACATTTCATCCTGGAAGGAGCTGCACTTTGGGGATTCTCGTGTCTGAGACCTAATTTGTAAAGCGCCCAGGGATCCCTGAGGGGAAAAAAGCATTATAGGATCATTATTAAAAGGGACACGTTATATTTCATGCCTCAGCTCCACACAAGTGGAAAAAAAAAAGGCCAGGAGCAGTCTCTGGGATCAGAGGACAAACCTGTGAAATGTAACATGCATCCAGGAAGTGGCAAAAACAGGACATGGGGAGTCTCCTGCTCTGCTCACTGCCTGGCCACAGCAGTGACACAGAGTAAAGAGCAGCAAAAAGTTTGGGTTTTTTTAATAAAAGCCACGATCCATGGTCCCTCTCTGCTGTCCCCTGGGCTGTTTTACAAGTCTGGGGTGGATCCAGCTCTTACAGCATCGGAACACAAAACACAACCTGAGCACAGCCCACCCACAGGGCTGCCTGTGGTCCTGCTGGCTCCTCCACCTGCCACCAGATAATTCAGACAAAAAAAGCTTTTCTTGAGCCTCTCAGCAGTGCTTACACCAGCAGTGTCCCTGCCACAGCCCAGGAAGCTCCTTTCAAACCCTCAGCATGTAGGTGGCTGGGTGAGAAGCCATTTCCCAGGGGAATGAGTGAAGGAACCTATTTCAGGTTGAATGTCACGCCTGCCTGTGTGCCACCCACGCGGTGTCACCTGGGGTCACTTCTGTCACACACAGCGTTCATCTGCTCAGCCAAGCCCAGACACCAGCAGAGATGGATGTGCCAGAGCAGCACAACACCCACAGGGAGGGTGTGGAGAGGAGGGGGCTGGAATGCAGACCCTGCTCAGCCACTCCTGTGGGAAGAGACAGGCTGGACCGTGGGTGGGGGCTGCTGCTGCAGCAGGGAACACCCAGCACACCAGCACAGGGGTACATTATGCTTCCCCACCCCAGACCCCTGGCACACCAGAGCTGTATCATGTGGAGCTCAGCATGCAGCTTGACCTCCATGGAAACCTGATGGGTTTCCTCCAGTGCTGTTTCAAAATGAGTGCAACTCCCAAGGCCACCAGTCCTGCCCTTCCAATCACAGAATCATGGAATGGTTTGGGTTGGGAGGGACCTTAAAGCTCATCTTGCTCCACGGGCAGGGACCTTCCACTAGAGCTGGTCTTCAGAGTGGAACTGAATAGGTGTAGATTGGATATTGGGAAGGAATTCTTGCCTGTGAGGGTGGGCAGGCCCTGGCACAGGTGTCCAGTGAAGCTGTGGCTGCCCCTGGATCCCTGGAAGTGTCCAAGGCCAGGCTGGACAGGGCTTGGAGCAGCCTGGGACAGTGCAAAGTGTCCCTGCCATGGCAGGGGTGGCACTGGGTGGGCACTGAGGCCCAAACCATTCCATGATTGCATGGACAGCACTTGTCCAGTCCATAAAGTACCACACCTACAGGAACCCACAAAAAAGTACAAGAAACTATCACTGAATTCCTGGGAATAAGAGCAGCACGAGCCTCAGTCCTCGGGGTTCCAGAGGGCTGGGAAGGAGAGAACTTTTCCCAAGTGAAGAGCTTTTCAAAGTGTGGAGAGCATGGCAGTACCTGTGTGCTGTGTTCATCCCCCTGGGCGTGGGTGGTGTAGGATCGAGCCCCATCCCTTAAGGTCTCGCTGGCGATGCGCACTTCCACGCCGGGCAGCGGGGTGCCCACCGAACCTGCGGAGGAGAACAGCATGGAAACGGGGCACAGCCTCCAGGAAAACCCAGAATCAGGGGTGCAAAAGGCTATCAATGGCATCTGCAGGCTGTGCTGGCACTGGAGAACTTCCTAGCAGGGGCTGTCCCTTCAGGAAGGTGTCGATCCCACGAGTGTCAGGACGCTGCCTCCGTTTGCTGGGCAGGCAGTGCTGGGAATGCCTCTGAACACAAACGTGTCTCCAGCCCTGAACTGTCACTCTTGACCACTCTTTGAAGACATCTGCACAACTTCAGAGCTCAGGAATGAATCAGTTTCTTTCCTTCTAAAGAAAAAAAAAAAAGAAAGGCACCACAAAACCTACACGAAGCTGTGAAAAGAGAGAGCCCAGCGATTACTCTGCTCCTCCAGAGCCTGCACCTGACAGGGGAAGCAAAGGCTTAACAGCTGAGAATTGCCAGGGATTATCTCAGTTTTAGGAGACATCAATACACTGGATAGAAAAACATCACAGGAGAAAAGCAGGGATCAAAACCAGCCCGTTCTCCCACAGGTTTCAATTTCAAAGCCAAGGATCTGCCACAGTGTCACAAGGACCACTACTGAGCTCCAAGCTGTGTCTGTGACCTGGAGCTCCCCAGCCTGCAGCTTTCCCACCCCCTGGGTCAGTGCCTGTTCTTCCTGGGGAGCACCTGAGAGCTCAGCAGGGAGGGCAGCTCAGTTCCTGTGACCTGTGGGATGGGCAGCTCCTGCCTCAGCAGACTCCATGGCACGAGGCAGCTCCTGTGGCAGAATGGGACCTGTGACCTTCATCCCCTGTGAGCAGGGAGGGGGACAGCAGCTCACAGCAACCTGTGGCTCAGCAGGAGTGGACAGGACTGAGTTTCAATTGGAGAAGGACTTTCCACAAGGGCCTGGAGTGCCAGGTCCCACTACCATATGAGAAACCAGGGAGAAATCCCTCCCTGTGAGGGTGGGCAGGCCCTGGCACAGGTGCCCAGAGCAGCTCTGGCTGCCCCTGGATCCCTGGAAGTGTCCAAGGGCAGCTTGGATGGGGTTTGGGGCGCCCTGGGACAGTGGGAGGTGTCCCTGCCCATGGCAGGGGGTGGAATGAGATGAGCTTTAAGATCCCTTCCCAACCAAACCATTCCATGATTCTATAAATTGTTAACTGTGCTCTTTATTCTAAAAGATGATCAAGTTTTTTTCCCCTGAAGCACCTCCAGCTGATGCTTCCCAGGTCTGCCAGCATCATCTTGACACTGGGAATTCCCTAGAGCAGGGAGAGCAGGACCTGGAGCTCAGCCCTGTCTTCCTCTTGTCGCTCGTATTTCAGGCATTTGGGTTCAAGTGGCATTTTCCCTGTGCTGGTCTCATTCTCCTGCTGAAGCCCTGGAGATCTGCTATCCGTGACATCATGATTTTGTCTGCTACATTGGTCAGTTGCCATGGAAATGGATGTGTCGTCGTAGCCCAGATTTATGGCATCCCTGCAGGATCAGCCAAGAGCAGATGGGCTATGAGGGAGTGAGATTTTATTGCAGCGAAACTACCCCCGAACAATTAGTAAATCTGGCTGGAAATAAACACAAAGCGACGTGGCAGCTCTGTGATCCGTGTCTGCTCTGCTCAGAATTGCCTTTGGCATCCTGGTCAGCCAGAACAGGCACGTCCTCTCCTCACCACCAGCACCCCTGGGCTGCTCCCACCTCCAGGCCAGACACTGCCAGGACTCCAAGGGCTGCAGCAGGGGAGGGAGGGAGCCAGGAGCCAGAAGTGCCCTGAGGTACCATGTCGAGGTATTTATGGAATCAGAGAATCACAGAAGTTGGATCCCACAAGGATCATCAAGTCCAGCTCCTGGCTCTGCACAGGACAACCCTAAAAATCACACCATATGTGTTATAAACAATCTTGCACCTGCCATGGGAAGCTCCAAGAGGCCTCAAAGCAAGTAACAAGTCACAGAAAACACCCTCAGTGTTGCTTGGAAGGTTGCTGGAGCCACCTTCTCGACTTCTGTGGGAAAGGTTTCTCCAGGGTGAAAAGCTGTGTGTGAACAGACTCCAATCTGCCCACAAAACATGGCACGTCTGTGGGCAGGCACCACAAAATCAGTCCTGGAAAGCTCGTGGAGGGAGCAGAAAGCAATGCAAGGAGCTGCCAGGGACTTTCACAGACTTGGAATTTTTCAAATCAAGAGCAGCCAGATGCCTTTCTGGAAGATGCTTCTTCCCTGGATGCAAGCTGCTGACCTCAGCATGGAAATGGGCAGTGATTCATGGGCAGGACTGCAGGATTAATGCCCACTGCTGGGCCCAGCCCCTGGGAATGAGACACCAAAGATCAGCACAGTGCTGGCACATCTGAAGGCACAGAAGAGGTGGTGACGTGTTCCCCACAGAGATTTGCAGATCACAGTCACTAACACAGCCCCACCAATTCCTCTCCTACTTGGAAAAGCTCCTACAATTGATTAGAGCTCCACAAACCTGACAGGATTAATAGAATTTGTGCAAAAAACAATGACTAGAGCTTCCTTCCACCGTGTCAAAATATACCCCGTGCCAATTCCAACAGGTCAGCAGAAATTTGGGCCCATTCCCAAAGGAACGGCCTGGGAGGTCCTGCCTTCATCAAGCCACAACTGGGGTGATCAGAAGGGGTCAACACTCTGCACTGGCTTCCTTTTGTCCCCAGCCATAATCCTGAGGGGAAACTGGGGAGAAATCTCTGCTCCTTCCCCTCTGCATCCCTGCAATTTGCAGCCTCCTGGATGTTAAGCGACGCTGGCACCTCGCCCGTGGTGTCACCAGGCTCGAGGAGGTGACATCGTTCTGCTTTCACCCGCTCTCCTCTGGTTAAAAAAGTTGTCAGCTCTTCCCAGATAAATTTAATTGGCCCCGTGCTCTGTGTCCTTCGGTATCTGGGTAGCTCGGTGCTGCTCCGTGCCGCGGTGTCCCGGGAGGATTGGAACAGGCCGGCGATAAGGCACTCAAGGATCTCACTGTCAACAATACACGGAGTCCCCGCTGTAGCAGCTATTAGCTGCCTCTGATCTAAACCTCCAATTAAAGTGGTGATTAGGCCCAGTGAGGCATTCTCCGGCCATGAATTATTCATCTCCCTTCACAGTAACAGCACCAGGGGGGATTAGAATGAGAGCTGGTGAAAACAGAGGCATTTTAAGCAGGGTTTTAACCATATACAAGCAAACATTTATCTTTCAAATCTTTCATCTTTGCTGCTTCTGGAAATGAAAGCTCCCACACCCCTGTCCCTGCCACCTCAGACAGTGCTGTGGGTGGAGAGTGGGGACACACTGCTGGTGACACCGGTGGGGACACGGGCGGGACAGGCAGCTCCAGGGACTCGACCTTTCTCCTGCCACACCAAGTGCCTGGAAGAGGGCAAGGGAAGGGCCAGGATCTCTCCTCAGAGGCTCATGAATCACGGAATGGTTGGGAAGGGACCTTAAAGCTCATTCCATTTCCACCCTTGGAACGGGAAGGGGCAGGGACACCTTCCCCTCTCCCAGGTGCTTCAAGCCCCATCCAACCTGACCTTGGGCACTTCCAGGGATCCAGGGGCAGCCACAGCTTCTTTGGGCACCTCTGCCAGGGCCTGACTTCCCTCACACCCAAGAATTTCTTACTAATATCTAATCTGAACCTAAAGTTAATTGTGAAGCCATTCCCCCCTGTCCTGTCGCTCCAGGCCCTTGTCCAAAGTCCCACTCCATCTTCCTTGGAGGCCCCTTCAGGAACTGCAAAGCCACAATTCGATCACCTTCTCCATGCTGAACAATCCCAATTCTCTCAGCAGAGGTGCTCCAACCCTCTGATCATCCTGGTGCCTCCTCTGGGCTCACTCCAACAGGTCAAAGCAGTAGAGAAGGATGTGTGCTGCTCCTAATCCTGGAGAAATCCTCTGGCAGATGTCCCAGCCCACCATCAGCTGACTCTGAGATCTCTGTGGTACCTGGTGACCTCCTACCCAGCCTCTAACAGGGCACTGGATCAAAAGCTTTTTCACAGCTCCAGCAAATTATGCCTCAGCTTCACCCATCTGCTTCCCAGCTGACACTTCCTGAAATAAATTAATCAAGCCGATTCAATTATAGCCTCCTTTCTGTACAGTTTCTTGCTGATCCCCACCTTCATGAGACACTTCTCGCCCCCTCAGGGCTGCAGGAGCCCCTGGATGGGGCTGGAGTGACAGTCCCCAGCCCCTGTGCTTTGGCTGCACAAGGGGATTTGTCCCCAGGTGCCCTGCAGGATCCCAGGATCCAGTGGGATGATGCCTCAGCAGCACAGCCCCCAGCTCTGGGGCAGGAGCTGCCCTTCGGGGTGCCAGCCTCTGCATTGCCACGCTGCTTTCAGTCTTATTCCTTTTCTCTTTCAGTCCCCTGGGAAATTTCTGGAGTCTCCACTCCTTTTTGCTCATGAAAATCAATAGGAAGCAAATATAGGAAGGCCACAGGGCCAGTGAAATGATCCCTGCCCTGTCACCCTGGGGTGTGGGGCTCACACAGCTCGAGCTCCTGCAGATGGGAGCCTTGTTTTTCCTGCCTGCTTCCCTCTCCTGCCTGCAGGGATGGGGCTGCTGGAGGAAGATAAAACTGGCTGAGGTGGGGTGAGGGAATGACAGTTACCCTGCAAAAGTAAAACAGAGTTTGTGTTTCAAGCTGTTCTCAGGCTGAGGAGTCAACGAGGGGGAGTTTTGGCTTCTCCTCTCTCTGTGCGACCCCCACGAGACCCAGCTCCTGCATCCCATGGGATTGGGGTGCTGTGGGAAGCTGTGACACCCAGGACCCCCCCTGGGGTAACACCAGTTCCCCAGGAGGCTGCATATGGTGCCATGCCTGCAGAGACAGCCTGTGGGGAGGCAGGTGGCACAGGGTGGGCACACAGATGGCCACGCTCCAACCACAGGGAGAGTGGGGGCATTTTGTATTTGCAATGTCTCAGATCAATTTATTTCTAGGTTCTAGAAAGTACAGCTATGGAGAGGAATCACAGAGTGTAGCTCAGAGGAGGGGGGGAAGACAAGGAGAGAACAGGCCCAGAGTGTACAGCGAGGTGTGACAATTTTGAATTCCTGAAGAGGCAAGAAACAGGCACTAAAATAAGAGTGAGCAGACGTCCTATTTTAAGTGTTCAGCACTGATGGGTTGGACAAGCACTGCTGTGTGGAGAATCCTGTGTGACACCACCCAGAAACACAACTCAAGGCAGCAGGAGCTGAAGAAACACTCCTTCAATTCACGAAGGTTTTGGAAGTAATAAAGCATCAGCCTGGAGCGTGGCAGCCTGGTCAGGCCAGCGGGCACCACTGCCACACACAGCTTTGATCCCTGGGAAACCCAGCAGCCACTCCCCACACATCCATGTCCTGGCTTCCCAGTGCCAATTCCCAGCATCCTCGTTCCTGCTGTGGCCTCTCCTCACTCACGTGCAGAGAACACCCCAGACCACGGCAGCCTCTGGAGACTCCTACCTGGGACACGGACTCCATGCAAAGGGTTAGAAAGCGCCATCCCAATCTCAGTCATCCCATACCTCTCCAGCAAGGTGTGCCCCGTGATGCTCTTCCACTTCTCCAAGACAGGCACAGGCAGGGCTGCTGAGCCTGACACCATTAACCTGCACAGGGAAAGCCCAGGTAAGAGAGTATCCAACAGCACCTTTGCTCCAGGGAATTTGCAGCCTCACACAGGGACACAAAAAGCTCTATGTAAAACCTGCAGCTCCAAAATCCTCACATCACAATCTGTCCCTCACATTCTCAGGGTGATATGGGGTTTAAGTTAACCAGGACAGACTCTAAAAAGAGATCCTGGGATACAAGCCTGGGCTGCAGGACAAAGTCCTCAGGGTGACACACAACGAGCCCCTTCTGGCTTTGCCATGCAAGAGTGGCTCATAATTAAATAATGTCACCCTTGTTCCTGTCAAAGAGACACCAAAGCACAACAACCAGCACTGAAAGAGGTGATGTTGAAAGGAAAACCTGGAGCATCCAGCGAGGCAGCAGCAGCTCTGCCCACAGCTCACTCACCTGATGTTGTCCTGGCAAAAGGCATGCACAAAATCCTGCACTTGGGGCTGGCTGAAATGCTCGTCATAATATTCCATCAGCTTGGCATAGATGGTGGGCACTGCCATGAACACATTGACACGGGGAGCTTGGGAGCTCAGGAGCTTCTTCCACACCTAGGAAGGAAGGAAGAGAACACACATGGATGAAAATACACCTTTGCTATCTAAGATTTCTTGGAAGTACAGCAGGAAGCTGTTGTGTGCCCCTCGTCCCTGTCCAAAACAAGTTCCCAACTTTCATCACGCCCTCATTTCCCAAGGCACAGCGCTCATCTCTCATCCCACCAGTGGATCCATCATCCCACCAGCACTCATGAGATGATGGAAATGGCATTTTTCAGTCCTGTCACACTGCAGCCAAGAATTTGCTCATGAAGATGGAAGTTTGTGGCAGAATCAGTTCATTCCCTTATCAAGCACAGCTCTTCAAAGGCTGCACAAAGCCTCCAGTTTTCCAAAGCACAGGAGCTCTTCTTTGGAAAGGCACAGCCCACACCTGATACACAATACACAGCTTGGAGCTCAAGGACTTCAACCTCTGAGGCAAAACTGGGAAGAGGGAGATCAGGCACTGGGAGTGAGACTCCATGAGAATGGTGAGGTGCAGAGAGCCGTGTCCCTGGTGAGCTCAGAGGAGCCACCAGAATCCACAGGTAAAGCAGTGGCAGCAGGAGACAACAGCTTTTTGGGAGGGCCACTACCCCAACCACGCTCTTTGTGAGTGGAATATTCCCTGTGGGAATAAAGTTCTTCAGCTGCAACTCCTGCTGACCTGTGGGAACTACGAACGGGGGCCAATTCCAGCAGCCAGCTCTGCTGGGATGTGGACAACAACACCTCTGGAATGCGCAGCCAACCACGGGTCAGAGGCACAAATGTCACACCTGAGATTGCTCCCACACCTCACCACTCTCCCTGCCAGGTAAGCTCTTCCCAAGGCAGGAGTGATCCAAAGCCATCAATAAATCAGAGCCCCACTGACGGCGCCTCTGTCCCCGCGCTCCAGTCCTGCCCTGCCGGTGACAAATGTATTCCCTAACAGCTCCTGACACGAGCGCTGCCTCGGCGCTCCCCAACACGCTCAGCTGCACACGAGCCAGGCCAGGCAGGGATTGATTGAAGGTGAGCCAGGGATTCTCCTTCATGCTGTCACTCTGCCCCTTCCCTCCGTTCTGCTCGCTCGGGCTCCGTTTCATCCCTTTCTCCTTGGCTGCATCTTGCACTCTTCGCTGCTCCAGAACAATCAGCTCCTAAAAACCCTCCCAGCACCGGGTGGTTGTTGTTAACAGAGCAGGACACGGCCACAGAGGCACCGTGGCACCCAACAGGAGGGAGCTCACGCTGCCTCCCAGCCCTTGGTGGGGAGAGATGAATGCACAAGGTGCAAACCCACTGGCCAGCCCGGGAGATGGGACATGAGCACTGCAAAATCCCCTGGGAAGGGAAAGCAGAACTGGAATGTGACTTCCTGCACTGATGGGTGATATGTCCAGAAAGGGAACACTTCACTCCCTGCAGAAACACACCTACCAGCAAGATCCTTACCAGCCAGATTAGGTCAAAATCCCATTTAGAGGGGTCTAACCTCCCCATGCTCCTCCCAGTCCCTTTTCTCCCCTGTTTTGTTCCCATTCTAGGCAGCAGGGTGGAGAAGGATCTCTGCATAGCCCTGGCTGAGTGGATCTGCTCTCCTCAGCCTGGTGGGCAGGGAAGGACGCGTGATGGCAAGCAGGGATCAGGGCTGTGCCGAGGGGATTGAAGGGAAACAGATGCTCAGGGGTTGTTCAATCCTTGCTGTGTGATTTTGTTTTGCCTTCCCAAGTCCCTAGCAGCTGTGGGAGCGCAGGCAGACTTCCAGTCTGGCCATGCAGCAGAGTTTTTGTCATATGACTTTGGATCTGAAAAACCCCAAATCCATCTAAACAGAGCAAGCCTCTCTTGCATCCCAGAGTCCCCTGTCCCCACGTGCCAGCTCAGCTCCTGCCTGCCTCAGATAAAATCCTCCCTCCTGCACTGCGGCCACGGGAGCAGCTTTTTCCGTGTCAGTCCAGCTCACCCAGCAACAGCCCCTTCCTGAGGATAAGCAGCTGCCTTTGGATTTGTGCCACCAGCTGCTGGGGTGATCTGCTGACAGCCAAACCTCTCCACCTGTTCTGCTCCCGCTCAGCCAAATCTGGATCCTTCCCATGTGTTTCTGCAGAACTAAGCCGTGGTACAAAGCTGGCAGCCCCGAGCCCAAGCTGGCCAGAGGGCTTGGCACTGTCCAGCCAGCTGGAACAGCTATTCCTGGCTTCTAACTGTAACTTCACAGTCGAGAGAAGGATCTGGGAAAGTCTCATTACCTGGGACTAATCAATCAGTCCAATCAATCAATCAATCAGTCAATCAATCCTGTGTAAGGCACCAGCTTTGTCCCTGCAGCACCCAGCATCTCCTGAGAGCGCCAGGTTTGGAGCAGCACAATCCATCTCCCCCTGGGTTATCCCACTGTCACCATCACCACGTTAGCTCCCCGTGCACAGGGCACTGGCAGCTCAACATTCTGTTCTGTTTTGCTCACCTGATACCTCCAAGTGCTTTTAAAAAGCCATGGATTGGGGAAGCAAACACAGCACTGTGTGCCAGGGCTGCCAGGCTCTGCAAAGAGGGGAAGCAGCAGACTTCCAATGCAATATGCTCAGGAGATGGATCAAGATTCCTTTTAAGATAACCAAGGGCTAGAAACAAAAAGTTTCTCACTGCAAGAAAGCAAGAGTTGGAACAGCTTCCCACCAGCAATACCAGCAGTGAATGCTTTGGGTCAGGGCTGCCTGTGCCAGCAGGGAAGTGGGAGACCCAATGTTCCCAAGAGCCTTCCTGTCAGCATGACATTCCTGATTTTCCTCCCCTCCCACTGCTCAAAAGCATACCATGAGCTGGCCAGTGGGATTCTGCCATCATTAAAGCAAAAAAAAAGGAGAAAATGACACCAGTGGGTACAAAACAAGTGCAGCAAGGCACAGCTGGGAGATTTTTCCCACGTATTTTTCCCAGCACGCAGATGGTGAACGAGGAACATAAAAGCTGCTCCAAGGGGTGGTCAGTCCATACAGCAACTTTCCCAACCAGCCTCCAGACCTGCTAAGATCACCTGAAGAAGGATATGTGAGCACAGAGGAGGAAAGGCAACAGCTTTTCCCTTTAGAGAGGGAGATGTGCAATGCCATGAACCAGCCAGAAACACCAAACTCAATACCTGGGCATCTTCTCATACAAAAGGAGAAGAAATGATGGCTAACCCAGTTCTGTGTGAAGCCATGTAAGATTTTGGCTGATAGAAGGTTCCCAAAACCAGCCAGAAGAACTACAAGTTGTAAAGGAAGCAAATATCAGCATGGATTTTTCCATCAGCTCACAAACAGATCGCAGCCAGCCCGCGGTGCAGCCTCTATTGACAGACACAACAGCTCCTCTCTTCCATAAAATTATTGTGCCATTTTCAGTTGTAATTGAATCTTTTCAAGCCCTTTCAAAACCAACAATGCCTCTGATGCAAGGTTAACTCAACCCTTTACTTCCCTCTTGCTCGGGGACATGGGTCTGTGTTTAGCACTGACTGCTGCCGTGTGGGAAGCACCATTGAGGAAAAGGGATGCTGGTGATTTTTGGAATGTCTGTGGGAGCAACAGGGCTGTGGCCAAGCCAGCTGCTTGTTTGGTGAGATCCTGTGCCAAACACAAGGGTGGGAAACTCCTGTAACTCAACAGCAGCAGCGAAGGAGCTGCAGGACCATGCACACACATCCAACACCGAATTATCCCAAAAAAGCAGATGGGCACAAGAGACAGGAGAGCACCAAGGGGAGCTCTGCTCTCTCCCAAGGACTGAGCCTCCAGCACTTCATGACCAATATGCACAGAGAGAAACATTCCTCTCTTCAAAGGGAAATCAGGCCCTCGGTGGCTTCGTCTCATGTTTGTTATAACCCCAAACTGTTTGCGCTCTGTGCGACTCTGGTTTTAATCATTTATTCATCAGCACAGTTTGATGGCCCCTCTGCATTCCAGGCTGAAGCTTTAAAACCCTTCCTATGCTGGAGGCATACTGAAAGGAGCAAGTGCTTTCCCTGGGACCTGGAAATATAAGTAAATATGACAGGCTCTGGTTCCATTTTTTATATTTCCCCACACACATCAAAAGCCATTACTTGGGAACAGATGCTGAGGACAGACGGCAGATCTGGGGAGATGGGGAAGAAAACCTCTAACTTTTTAAAGCCAGGTCTGTGAGAAGTGATCAAACATAATCCATTCACCAGTGACCTGCTCCTCCCTCCACCGACTCCTCTTTGAGTCTGAAATAAAATTACTTCTCTGAAGCCTCCCATTAACAGATGAAAAGACTTTCAAGCTCTCTCCAGCTGACACTGGATGGGGGCCGTGATCCCCAGCGTGCCTGGATATTGGAGCTCAGGCTCCTCTGCTCAGATTTGCTTTTCTTTTAAAAATAAACCAAAAGAGCTGCCCAGAGTGATGTTTGCAGAAGTGACAGATCCAGGGGAGAGGCTCAGTGCAGTGCATGTTTCTCCTTCCCTGAGGGAACTGCCGAGCCCTGGATCTCCCTGCGCAGCCCAGCCAAGGTAGACAGCCCCAGCACCCAGCCCAGCCTGGCTCACACAGAGAACACCAGTGACAAGGACAAAGTTTGCTCCCAGATACAGCACTGGAGCTCCTGGCCTTCAGGAATTCAGGGCTGTGAGCACACGATGCAGCCTCACCCCAGAGCAACACCTCCCACTCATCCTGTGCCAGGTCTGCAGCTCCCTCGTACCACCGGGAAATGGTGCCACGGGGGACAGAACTGCAGGGAAAGCTTGTCCCGGATCACACACCACCTCTGGGCACACAGCATTCCTATTTCCCTAAAAAGAAGAGTCCAAACAAGATGATTTTGATGGCTTTGAGTGTGACATTGTAAAACAGGGCATGGTTTTTAGAGGGCTTGCTCCTCGGAGCACCTTAAGTCAGACACGCAGCGAGGCTGGCACTGAAACAGCAGCTCCTGGAACTGCAGGGCAGGAAATCTGCATCTTGGCATCTTTATCATGGAAGGGGTTGCAGGGCACAGCCAGGGCTGTCACTGCACAGGCAGCACATCACAGCTCAAACCTGCCCAGCAGAGCCGAGCGGGCAGCACGCGCCACAACTGGGTCACCCGGAGCCGAGATTTCCATCAGCTTCTCCCATCACTCAGCACAGCAGTTTCCTCCTTCAGGTTTTACAGTACTCTTATTTCCCACTCTGCACTGGAAGCTGGAAAACCTCCCAGGATCTGCTCTCGTGTTTATCACTGCAGAGAGCTGGTAGGGAACCTATTGCCATTAGAAAATCTTCACCTCCAGGCGTGATCAGGGGTGCCCAAGGCAGACAAGCTCTTCCTTCTTGCCCAAAATGGATCCTCTTTGTCCAAAAACCACAGCACAAGATCCTGTAAACCAGACACTGACCTCACAATTTGCTCCAAAAAGTTCCTGTCCAAGGAATGCCTGGTCTGGAATGGGGACATCAGTGGTGACTGTCGCAGCAAGCATAGGGGACACCTGGGTCTGTCTCCACACTCACTGACACACCACAGGCTGTGCCTGAACTGATGCAGGGAGGGAGTCACCGGGAATGGATGCTCCAGAACCAGTGCTTGGTGCTCAGAGCCTTCAAAAAGCACTTGGCCAGGAGGAGAAAGCTCACCCTGCACTCCTTCCTTATCAGAGACATTCACTTCTTCTCTTCTGGTCACTAAAATGCACAAAATTTGTACAAACACAGCACTTTTAAAATCCCTACTCCTGGACAAGAAATTCCTACTCCAGCATCTGGGACAGGTCAGCAGCAGCTGAGAAATGCAAAGAGGAACAGAGCAGCTGAGAGAATAAACTCAGCTTGGGAGCAGGTTCCAGAGGGAGGATCCTACAGGGATGCTGAGGCTGCAGCTTGCTCTGGCTCCAGAGGAGGTTTCTGCCCTCCCACTTCTCACCCTTGAAAACCAATATAACAATAAACCAGTAACACCACAGCCAGCCATGGCAGAACACCCTTCGGGCTCACTGCTGCTCTCCTGACTGCTCCATACCCACCTGTGCTGAGAAGTCTCCCCACCAGCCATCCCTGCCATTCCCAATCCCAGATGCACAGACAGGAGATGCTGCTGCCACGGGCTCCCTGTGAAGACACTGCACCGCAAGGAGCACAGGCACCAGAGGACTCGGTACATCACGTACAAGTTGACTAATTCTGGAAACTAAGGGTCCATTTATAAACCCTTTATTAATAAATGATTAATAGATGCAGCCATATTTTTTAATAACTTGCAATAAAAAAATGCTACGAAAAGCTTAAGCAAGACAGTCTTAACAGATGGTGCTATAAAGTGAATTATAACATGTACAGTAGCTAGTGCAGCGTAATGGATGTCCTCATTTAATAAAAAGAATCTGATTTTATGCAGCAACTTTCACGCTTGAGGCACCTCAGCACACTTTAATGAGTCCTCGTGGCCTCAGCAGTAGCCACGGACATCAGATGCTGTTCTAGTGAGAGGAAGGATGTTGGTCAGGACACCAGGGCTACTCCACAGTCCTGATTTTTAACCTTGCCTTGGACAGCTCCCAAAAACAGACGTAAAAGTCTGAAAGCTGCCACCTCCTACCCCTGCACGGCGGGGAACAACAAGCAAGCCACGGTCTGGGGCTGGGAATGTCTTCTCAGGGGAAAAAAAAAAAAAGAAAAAAAAGAGCATTATTCCCACCACCAAAACCAGACTGCCATCTGTATCCACGACTATAAGGCACGCCGCAAATTATGTAATTTAATAAACACTGTAATAATAAAGTATTTATTTTGTATAATGAAGTGTTAGTGATTAGAAACCAAACACACATCGGGCGTGCTGCTGCGGTTTCTCTTGAACCTTTGCCAGTATCACTCAAGGCTAAATATGTCTGCAGCAGGTTGAGAGTAAGTTGCTTGCCTTGTTTTGATCAGCCTGTCAAGTGTTTTAGCTGCCAGTCGAGTTTCTTTATATCACACTATAATTGGCTGCTTTCTCAAGGTGCAGCCAAGGAAAAAAAGCACACGGCAAAACTCAGGCTCCTTTGGCAAAATCCTCCAGTGCTGCTTTGCTGCAAGCTGATTTCAGTAGCAAAGGGCACTTTGTAAACAGCTGGTGAAAATAGAGTGGAACTGAAAGGCAGCTTGCAATAAACTCCAGGAGAAAGCCTTATTTACCCTCCCGTGCTCGCTTTGGAGTGTCGATCAAACCACCTGCAGCTCCCGGGGGAGGCCCTTGGAAAAATAACGGGAATAAAAGACAGGGGAGAAGCAAATGCCATCCGTGCACCTGAGAGCCCTGCCTGGAGCCCTGCCAGCCCTGCCCAAGCTCCAGGGTCACACCCTGAGAGCCCTGCCCGGTGCCCTGCCAGCCCTGCCAGCCCTGCCCAATCTCAGCTCCAGGGTCACACCCTGAGAGCCCTGCCCGGTGGCACATCTGGAAACAGCTGTGATCACAGCAGCCACGAGGAGGGGGGTCCCGCTGCCCCCATCCCTCAACGTCAGCTCATCGATTCGCAGATGTGGGGAGAGAGCAGAGGAAAACGCAAGGCTACGAGGGAGCATCAATCACTGGTGGCACAGGATGTGGAGCACCGCGCCCTCCAGAGGCTCTGCTCCATCCTCAGCGCCGGCCCCGCCTCTCAGCGGCACCTCCAGCGCTGCTCCGGCTGCACCCCGAGCCTTCGGGGTCACCCTAAAGTCAGGGAGGACAATTTGGCACCCATCATCCGTGTGAGAGCACAGGCTGTGGCAGCCAGGGCTCTTCCTGCCTTCTACCACAGCATCCTAGCAATTTACTCTGAATGCAGAGCGGCTCTGCTGGGATTCCGGGGCTGTCCCCCCAGAAAGGATCAGTGCTCAGGTGTCAGAGCTATCCTGACAGAAGAAGGAAGTGTGCATTTTCTGTGGCTGCTGCTCTGAGAAGCAGAAATGAGCCATGAAGAATCACCCGGTCAGAGCTGGGCCCGCCCTCGCCTGGCAGCAGCACAGCCAGAGGCTCCAGGTGTGTCCCACACCTGTGCACTTTGTCCTTTCCATGGGACAAACCTTCCCAGCGTGTGGATAAACACAGACAGGGAGAGCAGCCCGGCCACTTACCCAGCACAAGCTCCTTTGGCTTTCCCAGGGAGCTCTGCAGTGACAGCACACTCGTGCTCCGAGCGACAGCAGCACCTGAAAACCCAACTGTCCCCTCACAGTGACACTGCAGCCACCCCCCCAGGACACTGGGAGATGTGGATGGACACACCCTGCATCCCAGGGGCTGCAAAATGTAGAACTTGTTCCACCTTTAGTGCTGCCTGTCCCTTTCCTTCCCCCCTTTCCATGTGTGCCGCTGCCGCAGGGAACAAAGAGAAGCAGAACACTGGCACTGGTGTTTCCTGGCTCAGATAGAAAACAACATTATAAGAGCATCATTCCAGTAAGGTTTCCCTCCTGCCACTTTTCTTAAAAGCTGCAAGAAGGTCTGGTTCTGCAAAGTCTCTCTCACATCACTGAGTCCAACCCAGCTCTGTTAACTCTTGTTTTTCCACAGAGGAAGAACCATCTTTCCACGTTAGGAAAACCAGGCTTCTCTTACCTGGGCTGCAAAAAACTCCAAAGGCTGTGTTCTGTCATGTAATGCAATATAAAACACTAAGGATGAAGGTCTGGAAGGGGAAAATTTGGAAGGGGCTGCCCAGGGAGGTGGTGGAGCCCCTGTCCCTGGAGATGTCCAAGGAATGACTGGATGTGGCACTCAGTGCTCTGGGCTGGGTGACAAAGTGGGGATTGGCCACAGGGTGGACTTGGTGACCTTGGAGGTCTTTTCCAGCCTCAGTGTTCTGGGGATTCTGGGAAATGCAAATCACTAAAAAATTCAGCAAGCAGCACACCACTAACACACAAGAGAAAATCCAGTATTCCCACCTCTCTTGGCACTAAAATATAAAAATCCACAACCCTAATTCTGGATGGAAATGCTCTTGGAGGGCACGTAGAAGGGTCCACCCACCCCCAGCCAGACCCCAGAGCAGGGCTGGGAGGGCAGTGCAGCATTCCCATTCCAACATCACATGAGCTGCACCCTCTGGAAGAGCACATTTACCCTGGGCTGAGCACCCAACCAACCCACTTTGCTGTCAACCACACACAGCCAGTGGCTAAAGGGGCTGGAATTCTTTAGGAATTTGTTCCCAGAGTTGCTCTGAGTGCAGTGCCCGGGGTCCTGCTGTTTGTTTTCCCCCTGGGCTCACCATCTCAGCGCTGAATTCCGGGAACATGATGCAGGTGGCTCCCACCCACAGCGGGCACAGCAGCTTATTGATCACCCCGTGGACGTGGTGCAGAGGCAGCACGTGCAGGATCACATCCTCCTTCTTCCACTCCCACTTCTCAACCAGCCCCGTGGTCTGCAGAGGAAAACAAACAGCACGGCCTTAGGGCACAGAGAAAGATCCTCCCGAGGTATTCTCCAGTTATTCAGCCCCCAAATCCCCTGGCAGAAATTCCAGGCCTATCTGGGCACAAAATCATTCCCTTAGGATCAGCAGAACAGCAGAACACAAGAGGAACACCTTCAGCATCCTGTCAGGATTTGTCTTTAAATCAGCAAAGCCCTTCCTTGTTCCTGAGAAATATCAACAATGATTTTAAGTAGGACATACAAAAATATTAATCTGCTGCTGCACATGCAGATTTGGCAGAAACAGTAATCAAAAAGCCAATTTTCCCAGAATTCTGTTGCCATAGTTAGGACACTGATGACATCAGGCTTTTAGCACCTGTAAGGGATAATCAGTAGGAGCAGGAAATCGCTGATAAATAGAAAGCAGGTTTCATGTTAGTAAAAATTATGGGAGTATCAAGCTTCCAAAACACTCTGCTCTGAAGGGATAATTATCTGAAGGGATAATTATCAGGTTTCTGGGTCAACAATGCCCTTCAGAGCCCAGTGCTGGCAACTGCAAAGCTTATTTCCAGCCACCTAAAAATAAGAAAAGCATCTGAACAGAGGAATTTGGTCATGTCCCTCACAACCCTCTTCTACAGGGCAGGGAGCAGCTTTTAGGATTCCTGCAGGACAGCACAAAGGATGGGGACTGCTCAGGCCACCCCCCAAATAATCAGCATGTTTGTAAGGGAACAGATTCTTTGCCCAATATAGCCAAGCCCTGGCTCCATCCATCAAGGCTTTCATTCCTGTTGGGACGCTGCGGGATCCGAGCACCCGGAGCAGCAGCAGCTCTCGGAGGCATCCCTGCATTCCCTGCCCTCCTTCCCTAATGGCAGCAGTCTGGCAGTTGCAGGCACTGATAACCAAGTGGTGAGGTAGTCAGCAGGCTTATTCAAACTTTTAATTCCTTTTGGCTCCGAGAGCTAATGGATTTTTTTGCCTTGGGGATACAGAGCTGAATAATGCACAGGCTTCACACAGCACTGGGCTGGGCTGAGATATTTTCCAATTAGGAGCAAAGATTCTCTCCTAGTCAGAGGGTGGAAAAGCAAACTGTAAAGAAATCAGTTTTTTTATAACAGGTTTCATCCCTTCTGCTTTCCAGGAAAGAGGAGAATCCACCTGCCTCAGGATGCAGCTGCAGCATGAACAGGCCAAGGTTTAGAGCCTCACACGCTGCTGTGTGTTCACCTTCCAAACGTGGGGGACCCCGGAGCTGCAGCCCCACAGCTCTCTGCAGGAATTTGGCAGTGGAAAGGTGTTTGCAACCCCAAATCCCCTCCAGATTCCAAGACTCTGTACCTTGGCAAAAGTTTAGAGGGGGAGGACAGCAGCACTCACCACAGCCTGCACGTTCTGGTGGGTGCTGAGGACACCCTTGGGCCTCCCCGTTGTCCCGCTGGTGTAGATGATCATGGCTCCTCTGTCCTTCCACGAGGAACAGCTTGGCAAGGGCCCCTCCTGTGTGGCTGCAGGGCTCGTGGATCCATCACCACCAAACCTGGGAAGTGGCAGCACAGGGACTCCCAGTTTCTTGGCACTGGGGGTTATTTTCCCCACGAATTCCTCAGCTGCAATGACCAGAGCACTCTGGGAATCCTGGATCACGTATTCCAGCTCGGGCACGGGGTGTTTCCTGTACAGGGGCACCGCTATGCCCCCGCTCATCCACGAAGCCCACTGGGCCACCACGTAGGAGGCATCATTGGGGCACAGAAAGGAGATCCTCTCTTCCCTCAGGTCCCTGCTGGGGCACTCCAGGAGCCTGCAGATCTCCTGGGATAAGCGGAGGCTGCGGCTGAGCAGGTCCCTGTACGTGTGCTCCCCGTTCTGATCAATGATGGCCACTTTGTCCCCAAAAGCCGGAGCCCTGGTGAACACAGGGGTGATGTCACTGCTGCAGGTGGCCCAGGCTGTGTGCAGAGCCCTGTGGGGACAGGCAGCCCTCTTCCCATCCCATCTGCAGCGGGACAGGTCCCGGAGGAGGCAGCGGAGGGGCCGGCACACCTGGGGGAAGAGCAGGGGGAGCAGCATCCCGCCAGCACAGCCGGGCTGAAGCAATTCTGCAAAAAACAATGATGGGAACACATCAACAGAGGCAGGGATCACCCAGGGGGTTATTCCCACCCAGGAAAAGTGGCAGCCCTCATTTGAATAATACCCACTGTATTATTTATGTCCCTGCCTCAGAGTGCCACATCCTGGGCAGCCTGAGCATCCCTGGGTCCTGCCACGATGGAGCAGGAGGCAGAGACCCTTCCCTGCACAGCCTCTTATCACTAAAATCCAGCTAATTTAAATGATGAACCAGCTTCCATAGAATCCCAGCATGGTTTGTGTTGGAAGGGACCTCAAAGCCCATCCAGCTCCACCCCCTGCCATGGGCAGCGACACCTTCCAACGTCCCCTGGCAGGCAGGGGGTGAAACGAGATGGGCTTTAAGGTCCTTTCCAAGCCAAACCATTCCACAATTCTGTGAAGAATCCTAAACCCCTCTGCACAGCCTGGAGCACCCTCTCCATACAGCAACGGGGAGCAGAGAGGAGAGGACAGGGCTGTGGCAGGAGAGAGGGATTTGCTGCACAGAATCCAATCAGCACCAAACCATCCCCAGAGAGATTCCATGACAAGAGGAAGCAGCCAAAGGATGACAAGCTCTCACTCTGCGAGAGCGTCCGTGACACTTCCTTGACGCTGGCAATAACAACCTGATTTTTCCCATTTTTTTTGATAAATGCCTATTAGTGGAGCAGCTCAGCTCCAGGAGCCTCCCAGCCCAGCTTCCCACTGTGGGGAGGAGCTGGAACAAAGGAGATCCAGCCCAGCAGCTCCCCAGGGAAGAGCTGGCCAGGGCTGCCCTCAGCTCAGGCTGCATAAGTTTATTTTCCGTGAACGCTGCGGTCTCTCCCCTCCACCTTCAAAGCATTTCCCCACCCAGACACTGGCCCTGCTCAGATTCTCTTTTGCAAATCAACCTCGATTTCTGCTTCTGCAAAACAAGCTTGTGATTTAGGGTGGAAACATCTGGGGGCGCAGAGAGGTTTCAGCCCCAGAGCAGGGTGACCGTGGGAACTCCTGACATTTGCCACCAGCATGGAAAAAAACAAAGCAGCTCAAGGCAGAGCTCGTGTGACATCTTTGCACTGCTCTGGAGAGACTAAAATGTAAAAACCTGACCTAATTCACAGCCTAAACTGAACCTGTGGCCTTGGCAAGGTGTCAATGCCCTGAGCATTAAGAGGGGCATGAACTGGAAGCTGTGTTTGCCAAGGAGCAGCGTGGCTGATGCTCTCAGTCCTCTCACTGTTCCTCCAGCTCCTTCCAAAAATCAAATTACCCCATTCCCACCAGTCTGTGTTTAATGGAGCAATTAACAGCTGCACCTTCAGCCAGGCCTGGGAATGCTGGGCTCCAGAGAGCTGGGGATGTGTGCAGACACTCTGGGCACAGGGAAGTAAATCCAGGGGCTGTTTCCATCCCCTCCCATTGCTCAGAGTGCCACAAAGTCTGGCACAGCACACCTGGAAACAAAGTCTGTCCCTAGAGCCCATGGGAAGGTGGTGGCAGTGCAGAGATGTGGCTCTGCTGCCTTGGAAGGGAAGGTTCAAATCCCCCTGGAAGGGAAAATCCAAGTCCTCCTCCTCAGGCTGAAGATTTGAAAGCAGCTGGAGGGTTCTCCCGAGCTCCCAGCACAACAAAACCAGTGCAAACTGGGAGCTGCACAGTCCTGTGCACTTTGTGCAGCCCCCTCTGCACCTTCTGAGCATAAAGGGCATAAAATGCATCCCCAGCTGTGAGTGTGTGCCAGTGTGAGTCTGACCTGCAGGATTCCCCCCTTTCCTCATTTACAGCCATGGCAATACCTGGGATTCCTGGCTGTTTCTACAACAGAGATAAAAAAATATTTTATTCTTATAAAAAAAATAATATATATATATATATATATATATATTATTGTAAAATCATAAAGTAACTAAGAGAAAAAGACTTGGAAAAGATATCAAATAATGCCAGGGATGCTGACTGTTCTGCCCTTCTCATAAAGCAAAAAATAGGGAAAGTTTTGGATTGGACAGCAGCTTAGAGCCCATCCAGTCTCACCTTCCCCTGTCCCAGGTGCTCCCAGCCCCAATGTCCAGCCTGGCCCTGGACACTGCCAGGGATCTGGGGGCAGCCACAGCTGTGAGAGCCTCCCCACGCTCAGGGCTTTATTCTTCTCTTGTTCCGGAGCGGATTCCCACCCTCCTGCCCGCAGCCTACTCACGGCACATCCCAGAGCAGGAATAGGAAAAATCCTCTCCCTGCGATTCCCGAGGAACCGCGGGCACGGGCGCGGCCCCGCCGCGGGCCTCGCAGCCAGCGGGGAATCAGGGCCGGG